CATTCATCAGTCAATGGACACTTGGGCTGTTTCCATAGTTTGGCGATTGTAGATAGCCCTGCTATCAACATTGGGACATATGCATTCCTTTGGATTAGTATTTCTGTTCTCTTTTCTTCCTTCATCACTGGACTCTTCAGAAGTTTGGTCTGCCTCCCTCCCTTTTTTTGTTATTGTTTGTTTGTTTATTTCTTTCAGCAGGAGTATTACAATCAGGATGCTATTGTTTGATTATTTCATAAGCATCCCTCACATTTCAGTAACTAAAAATCCTAAAATGAATTTTACATACAGGTTGCAACACTACTTCTAAAAAGGCTTCTATTTTCACTGTTGTGTTTGCCCAGCCCCGGGTATTTGGAAGTCAAAATTTGTCTAGTTCAGTTCTCATGGTTACAGATGTTGGGGAGGCTTTGGTTGATTTCTTTGATGGTACCCTCAAAAATTTGGGAATATACACCAAAACATGCCTTCCTAAAAGATCTTTGACTTTTTTGCAGTCCCCCAAAACACTCACACCCCACCCTGTCGTACAATACTGTATTGACAGAGGCTGATTACTGAGAAAAAAAATACAATGAGTTTTGAAACTACTGATAGTATATCAGCCTGTTGGCTGTGTTTTAGGGTTAGGGCCAGGGTATGGGAACAGTGTGAGTTAGTTAATAAATAAAATAAAGAAAACCCACTATAAAACTTTGCTCTCTTGAACTAATTAGTGGTTTCAGTTTGCAGTTGCTTTTGGAGTAATGAACTGCAGAATTATCTTGAGATTTGAAAAACATCAGACACACTTGGGTTAAGTGAATAACTTTGGAGGGTAATGATTTTTGTGTGTCGTAAACTTTCCTTTTCTATCCTTCAAGATTATCCTTTGTGAATTAAATGCCTAGGTCTTATTTTGTTTGTTTAGTCTGTTGGTCCTTCTCCTTAGGGGTCAAATGTTTGTTTATTGGCCTAGGAACTGTGATAACTAGAGGGACTTAATCCTGAAAAGTCTCCTCGACTGATTAGTATCTGCCCTGCTTTGCTACAGTAGCTCAGCAATGACTATATGAAAGGGTGATGCATGCTTCGAAGAAGGCAGCGGAATATATCCAACTTTTCATTTCCTTCACAGTTCAGACAGAAGACAATCCACGTGTGGCTCAAGTCTCAATAACAAAGTGTGGCTCTGACATGAATGGCTTCTGTTTGCATGGACAGTGCATCTACCTGGTGGACATGAGTGAAAATTATTGCAGGTAATACGCAAAAAAAAAAAAAAAAAAAAAAAAGTGTTTTTTAGACATATACTCTTTTTTTTTAAATTGTTTGAAGTTGATGTGTTTCCAGGGGCTGTAGTTTATACATACTATTAGCATGCAGTTATATGTGCTATTAGTAACGTTATTAAGCATGTTTTTTTTTAAGTTCTGGAAGAAACAGTAGCTCTCAAATTGTACCGATATTTCCAGGGTACAGAGTCGGGTAGGCTTTGATGCCTCCTTCTCATAGACCATGAAGGTGGTTCTGCTTTTAGTCTTTCCACTGGACTTCTGCATCAGCCCCTGTTTTAAGGATTGATTGAACTGATTAAGACAAAATGCACCTCCACCCTACAAAAACTTTCCAAACCCCCTTGTGGGTTGTCAGCCATCCTGGCAGCTGGGCCAGCCTGTCACTTAGCACCACAGTTAAGCTGAGAGCTGTGTGGAGCTCTGATATCAATGTGGGCCCCGCTCTGAGGCCAGTCTTTGAATTCCTGTTTACAGCTGTCAGCAACCTTCTCGGTTTCCTGTATCACAGTGTGAGACGACTCCTTACAAAACGAATTCTTAATGATAATTTCTTTTTTAAATAACCGATCTTTCTCTCTCATGTTCCTGTAGGTGTGAAGTGGGTTACACTGGGGTCCGCTGCGAGCACTTCTTTTTAACCGTCCAACAGCCCTTGAGCAAAGAATATGTCGCTTTGACTGTGATTCTCGTTTTCTTGTTTCTCGTCATCGTTGCCGGTTCTATATACTACTTCTGCAGATGGTAAGCCGGTGGTTTCTGCACTCTGCTTCTACGTATTATGTTTATACAATGCAGGCTAAAAAACTGGGTAAGACTATGGACAAAGTGTTATTTAGAGGGATACGATGGACTCTGCACAGATGATACGTATTTTTTTTAATTTTTTAAAACATTTATTTCTAAGGGGGGGAGGGGCGGAGAGAGTTGGAGACACAGAATTGGAAGCAGGCTTCAGGCTCTGGGCTGTCAGCACAGAGCCCGTTGTGGGTCTAGAAGTCACAAGCTGTGAGATCATGACCTGAGCCAAAGTTCGAGGCTTAACCAACTGAGCCACTCAGGCGCCCCCACTGATGATATTTACAAAAAAGAAGTTTCAGTGGCAGATCGTATGGATTTGACTCTAATATTAGCTCTGCTATTTATTGTCTCTATAAGCTGTACAAGCCAAGCTTAGAGTATCAGTTCTTTCTTCTATAATATACAGATAGAAATCTTCTACATTAATGACAGGACCATTTTCAGCATTGAGTATTATCATGCATGTTAAAGAAACCATAAGGCATGATGTCAATGTTATGTTTAACCATTTGTATTGAATTATTAGGTTAAATTTTGTATTTCATAAAGCATGTGCTTTGTAAATTAATAACCCTAGAGGCTTAGGATTTTAAAGTTTAAGGCAGACCTGTAGACAGGAATTTCCAGACAGTTGTTAAGAGGTTACTTTTTCCCGTCTCCCAGAACAGTGACACCCCACCCTGTTGTATAATACTATACTGACAGAGGCTGATCACTGAGAAAAAAAAATACAATGAGTTTTGAAATTACTGACAGTGTATCAGACTGTTGGTTGTGTTTTAGGGTTTAAGACCAGGGTCTGGGAACAGTGTGAATTAGTTAATAACAGCTGCCTTGAACTGTCTCCATGAAATCCTTCTTATTTTGGAGCTGGTACAAATTTTTCAGTGAAGATTTGAGTGGATGTCATTTTATTTGTTTGCTGAAAGCAATGTGCTTCTACTTGTGAAGGTCGGAAAGTGTGCTACTTTTATAAGATTAAATTTATTTTGCCCATGATTGATTCTAAGTATTCATCAAATTAAAACGCCTTCCTAATTAGTTATGATCACAGAACTGAACACTACTGAAACTGAAATACCCCTAAAAGATCTTTGACTACAACCCTTTCCTTTATAAAGATTGGGGAAGTGAGACCTAGAGAGGTCATTTGACATGCCTCAGCTCATATAGTTGGCAAGTGGCAGAACTGTGTCTGTGTCTAAACAAAAGCTTTCAAATTGTATTCCTCCACTAAGCATAAACGCGCAGTTTCCTCAAGGCTACATGCCTCATCTCCGAAATGGGTAGAAAATGAATTCAAAATATTAGGAGGATAGCTTGAACAAACGAATGAATGAATGAAGATTCTGAATCCTAGCTGGCAGAACTTGACCGTATGTAACCCATTTGTACTTCACTGTCATCATCTATAAAATGAGGATGATAATGGCAATGTGAGAATGTGAGAATAGAATGAGTAATGAATGTATAGCACTTAGGGCATTGTCAGCCACTAATTAGTGCTTGATAAATAATAAGAAGTTATTCTAATTGCTTTTGGTGATAACATTGTATCGATGTGATGGATAGAATATAATGATGTAGTATGGTATTCACATACTAGTTTTCTAGAAGGAAGGAAGGAACGAAAGAACCAAGGAAGGAAGGAAGGAAGGAGAAAGGAAGGGAGGGGAGGGAAGGGAAGGGAAGGGAAAAAGAAGAAAGGGAAGGGAGGGAGGGAGGGAAGCAAAGAAGGAAGGAAGGAAGGAAGGAAGAAAAAAGAAGGAAGGAAAGACAGAGGGAGAGATTGAGAGAAAGAAGGGAAAGGAAAGAAACAGAAATGAGAAAGAGAAAGAGAGACAGAGAATAAAACACCCAGGCTTAAATATGGTCACATGCTTTCCTGGAATTTTGTAATTTTCAGGACATGTTAAAACCTCTGAAGAGTCCTTTAACTGTGTTTCACCATTTCCTCCCCAAATTGTTGTTTTTTTTCTCTTGCCCAACCTAAATCTGTTGACTTTTGTCATTTTGGAAACACTGTGCTGATGTTTCTTTTGAGTCCATATGTTGGTTTGTTTTGTTAGCACACTTTGTTCTTCTCACTGTTAACTACAGTGCTAACAGTTTCAATTTCTGAATATTTCTAGGTACAGAAATCAAAAGAGTAAAGAACCAAAGAAGGAATACGAAAGGGTGACGTCAGGGGATCCAGCATTGCCACAAGTCTGAGTGCTGCCGTCCAGCTACGGGCAGGGATGCGCAGCGTGCCTGATTATGTTAATATTCCTATTTTATTAATAATATTTATGTTGGATCATGTGTTAAGTCAACAATGGTGCATTTTTAATATACTTGGAAAAGTTTTTTATTTTTGTTTTATTTTTGACAGACTATTTGCTAATGTATAATGTATACAAAATATATAATATAGAAAGAAGTCCTATTTTTGTAAGAAATAATTTCCTGGGCCAAATGCTTTAGCTTCAAAGCTCATTTGCCAGCTACACAATGCTTAGGAGTGAGCGATGTCCAGTTCATCACTCAGGAAGGGTCAGCAAATGACAGATTCCTGTTAAGCCTAAATGTATATGGTCAAATCGAATGAATATTTTCCTACTCCTCACATGAGCGATAATTGATTTGACTGTATCACAGTTTGATGTATGTCATGGCACCACTGTGTCATGTATTAAAACACTAATGCAATGGGAATTGGGGAGAAGCGAGTCTATATCATGTGCTAAGCACTACACGCAGGGAACGAAGTAGACCCAGGAGGGCTGTATCCTTCTGTCCCTACCCTCAGCTCTGATTCCATGGTGACTGGCCTGGAGGGCAAGAGGACAGTGCCCTCTGCCAGCTCACAACTGTGGACACGAGTCACTCAGCTTCAGTTTCTTCTTGCATTAAAGGAATTGACAACTTCATTTTATGCCATCT